TGTTTCTATTATTTCTTAAGGGGTTTATGATTTCTTGAACATCTGAAGTTGTTTGTGATTAAGTTGGAGTGTTTCTAATGATGTTATGATGCCTAAATAGGGGTAATTAATGGCAAGAATTTGAAAGAAATTAATCTGGACAAAGATGAGGAATTGCTGGATTGAGTGATTTATACCTTGATTTTGGGATGATACTTAGTGTTTAACTTATATATATCAATATGAACGTTTTTATATGTAAGTAGGGAGTGTAGAAATGATTTTAATGGCCTAGAATTCTGTTGGTATCATAATAATAAAATGGAAACCGAAAACAGTCAAAGGGAAAAACTGCCTGATTTTATGTAGTGGAAAATGGACTGTTTTTGAAGCTCCAAACACTTCATTTGTCACAATGTTATGATCTGATTATCTTCACATATATGTTATAGGTGTGGTAAAAGTTTGGGAGCCGTTAAATATAGGTAAGGACATGAAAAAGAATTTGAAAAATGAGTGGACGGTGACAGAAACCTAGAAAACAGATTCTGTCCATTTGGGTATTTAATGTGATTTCAACATTTAGATAACCCCTAATGAACTCTTGGGCATAGAAAATATATCCTAAGGAATACTAGGTTGTCGAAAACAATTGGATGACGTTGACGTTCATAATTGGACTCGAGAGATAGCGAGACTTATTGGATTAGTTTGTAATGCCATCGATAACTTGAAATAATGATTTTGTCTAAATTGTTTTGGCGTGACTGGACGTATTTTGGGATTGTGTGTGTTAAGATTATTAAATGGAGGATTGTATTTAATATTAGATGACAATTCAGGCGACTTTTCGACGTTGAGCGAAAAAGGGAATTGATACACACACCATAGTAGCTTACACACATAAAGGCGAAAGGTAAGTGAAAATCCATTTGCAACTACAATGCAAGAACCTAGTATATGTGACATAGTAATGTTGAAATATCCACGTAACTTTGATAAGAGGCTTATAGCACATCATATGGTGGTTACGATCATTGAGTATGAGATTGCGTAACCTATTGACATCGATTTTCATTTATGAGCATTTTCATATGCATGCACGACATGTAACATGGTTGAAAATACTGCATGCAAAATATGATTTCAAAGTGAGTTTCATTATAAATGTTTTATTGACCACTACTAGGGCACCGAGGCATGTGAGGCATGCTTATGTGATATGTTTGGCATTGCGGGTGTTACTTCCTGGGTGATTGCAAAGGTAGATAGGGGATGGGCCTTTGGTGATCACGGGAGGGCGGACCACTCGACTATGCCCTTGTTATGATTATTGGCGCTGCCGGGTGGAAGACTTCTTGGGTGATCATAGAGGTAGTCAGGGGATGGGCCTCTAGTGGTCACGAGAGGATGGTCCACTTGTCGGTGTCGATTTCATATTGGCCACTTGATTATTGATATTGATATTATGCAGAGCTCTATCCGGTGCATAGTAGGTGGGTCAAGGGCCCAATGAAATGAAAGATTTCAAGTGAAATGATTTCTAGTCGACTTTGACGAATATTGAAATATGATATTTTTATCATGATATTTAAAGTAAATGGCATGGTGTCATATGTTGTTATTACTCATGTTCAGGACATGCATGATTTTGCTTACTAAGTATTGGCTTATGTAGTTCTTGCATTGTAGGTGAACACGGAACTACATAGAGAGCATGGCTAGCTGTGGAGCTCCTACAGGATTCCAGAGTTTGATGTACATGGATGACGACCTGTAGGGTTATTTTGTAGGCTGCCATCTGTTGGATTATATTTTGGAATCCTATATAGTGTACTTTTGAAATGGCCTGTAGACATATTTATAAGCTCAGAATATATATATGTTGGATTATGGCGATATGATTTTGGGTTTCAATATGTTATATGATCGTGTCACAGGTGATTAGAAGTTAACAAACTCGAAAAAAAAATATGTAAAATTCTATATCTAGGTTGTGTATAGATATCAATATTAATTTGGGGGTGTGACAAAAACGTTACTGTTTGTCGATTTAAAGCAGTTGCACGAAACACATCATCACAACCCATATCAAATGTCCCTCTATGTGTTGATTTTTGCGGTAGAAAATAATTTTACTGAAGGGGGCACATTGATGAGTGATATTTCACTCTTCATATCAAGACCATTAAGCTTATTATTTAGTTAATTCTCATGTATTTTAGAGGTGCTAACATGTAGTTTTCATGCTATTTTGAAGGATGGATGAAGTGGAGAAACAAGTGATAAAAGAGGCCAAATGAAAGAAATAGGCAAAAGTTGGTGAAATTGGATGAAAGAACCAAAATGTAAGAGATCCAAAGTTCGAGGACTAAGGTGCACATAATCAAAATTTGTGTCGAAACTTGGAATGAACCGAGAGTTCTGGAAGCCAATTGGATGAAGAAAGATGTCAAAGGGATCAAATTTAGTAAAGATATGATCATAAATCATTTTCCAACCGAAAAGTTTTGCACCGGATTTTTAGTCTCACATTCAGACCCATTTTAGACATATCAAACAAACGAATTGGAGAATGATGCCTGAATCAAAGTTGTAGCCCTTTGAATTACCTTTTCAAATCATCTTGAATCACTTCAATCGGATATTGGAAGAAAGAATTATGATAAAAATACTGAAGGCTGTGCAGTGCAACCGAAGTGGTCACGAGCGCACCGCCTAGCGGGAGTAATTTTTTGGGTTTTTACCATTCTTTCTCGGCCCAATTCATCCCCAAATCTTTCCAAAACTCCTACACACTATAAATACATTTCAAAGACCTAATCTCAAGGGGTTGGATGGCTGAAGAGAAAGAGGCAAAGGAAACATCGATTGAGAGGAAATTCACCAGATTTGGAGAAGAAATCAAACAGCAAACTGAGTTTTTCTTATCTTTTTCTTCTCAATCATGAACTAAACTTTTAAATCTAGGGTTTGATGTAACCTATTTGAGACATGATTTAATTTCTTCATAGTATTTCCATTTAATTTTCTAGAATTGATTTGTATTGTTCTTGCTTAATGTTTTCAGTTGCCTGATCACCAATTGAATGAATTGATGTTCTAAATTTGACGCTCGAGAGATAAAAATTTAGGCGTGATCTAAGAACAAAATAACCTAGATTTGTAGGTTTCGAGAGAAAGTGCGAATCTTTGAGGGTAAAACAAGAACCAAGTGCGTGATAATCTTTATATATTTAATTCGGAATAGAGATATTGGGTTAAAATATAGAGATATGTTCTATTTGACGCTCGAGAGGGGGAAATAGAATTAATTTAGGATTCTTGCCTATGAATTCGGGAAATAGTTGATGGAAATATCTATAGGGATTGAGAATTATGTCGAGAATACGATGAAATCACTCCCTAGACATTACGTAATTTTGATTTAATCTTTAGAAATTGCCTCACGTTCCTTGCGTTATTTAATTCATCGACACTAGTTTAACATTCAAACATCAATTTAACATCCGATTGTCTAGATAAAGTAAACGCGGACACAATTATAGTATTCAGTAGAAGTCGAATATCAATTATATCAATTCCTGTGGATTCGACACTTTTCAATTCCTTAATATACTACAAAACTTGACACCGTACGCTTGCGGTTAAATCACGTTACATAAATCGCGTGGCACACATATGTTAATGGTATTATACACAATTTGGTTGTTCTTCAAATTCAGCGATTCGACGACAGCTGGAGTTGCGGAGGATGGTGGTGACACCGGCTATAAGTGAGGGATGAAATTTTGGCTCAAGATTGGGAGAAAATGAGTGAATGAGATTTTTTTTTTTAATTTGCCATGTCATCCCTGTAAGATGCTTGTGAATCATTTGCCTATACATGTAGCGCGATGTTAGGTTTGGCATGTAACCAACGTTCATCATTGGAGCACATCATGTTTCGATTCCTAAAACTGATTCAGAATGGGTCGTGTCATTAACTAAAATTTTATTTGAAGTTTTAACATTAGTCAAATTGGAATTTACCTAGTAACATAGATGTGTAAAGTATTGTCATTTGCTCTCAATGGGTCGTAGACTAATGAACTATCGATTAAAATAAAAAGTAATCTTTAACTGCACTTAATTCACATGAGCACCAAACCCGACGAATTACAGATTATCCAGTGATTCATTTTCAATGAATCTTGATCATGATAGGTGGAGGAACGAAATCAACCAATATATGCTGTATATCTATATGCTGCTTTTTAAAATTGTCCATACAAACGTAACTGTGTGAGTCAATTAGCATATATTTAAGCGATAAATTAAAAGGTTATCTGCCAACATATCTGCTTCCTAATATTCACCAGCGTAAGTTGTAGTCATCAGTCTCTATTCAACTTCTATCCTCTTCCAATCAACAATATTCATCTGCAAATATAAACAAATTAACAGTTAATTATTTAAACGGCATGGGATTTACCCTTAAAAGCGTCCCATTAATAACTCAATAATGCAATTCCATTTATATGCCATTTAATATTATGATAGCTAGCCTGGTATTTTATTTCATTTCAGTTTGTGAATCTAAACGTTAAAGTAGCATACAATTTTTATGTGATTTGAAGTTGGACGTCCAACTTTTAGTCAAGTAAAAGTCGCGTGCGATTTTAACCTCCAAATTGACCAAATTGATGGTTTGTTTCAATTAATTAGGATTCAAATTCAGATATTTAACTAGGTTGAGACCCGAACCTCACTTTATTTTGTATCTGTGGAACTTCAACTGTGGTTAACTGAAGACATGGTTAAGCTGCAACTGTGAGACTGCAGGTCATGTACTTTTTGCAAGCCCATATTGAGTAACTGTACATATATGTTCAAAGTTTGAAACTAACTTATTATCTGATCTACTCTTCTGGAGTAAAACTGCAACTTACTATTCAGATCAATCTTCTGCTGTCTATACCAGTCAAAATAAAGCATAATTCCCAATTCAATAATTAATTAGTTGTTAATCTCAATACTGTTTTAGATCAAAATAAGTACTAAAAAAGTGCTATATTATAAAAAAAAGACTCCTACATGTATACATGCCTAATAGCTATTAGTTGGTGGAATTGCTGCATACTGCTTGTCCACAACTTCGATAAGCTTGTTTGCTATCGCACTCGCATATACAATCGAACCTTCACAGATCTGCACAATGACATTAAATCGTACCAAAATTTTATTAACTTCATGATCAGATTATAAATATAGATCAATGAAGATGAAAGAATTTACTAAAACTACCTTAGAGTTGAACAAAAAGCTATAGTAATCCCCAATTAGGCCTCCAGCAACATGGTTAAGATCAAGCTGAAGCTCCTCAAGAACCTTTGATACAAGAAGTAAGCAATTGGTTCTCTTCTGTTGAACAAGCTTGACAGTAACTTCATCGTCCACAATGCGCACATCCACCTCGGTGTTATTCGATTTCCTGTGGAGCCATGAGCTTCTTAAGGATGAGCCATTATAAGGCTGTCCCATGTCATCTAAAGACTTTGTGTCAATATTCCCCTCCATTGTGTCACCTTCTCTTTTGGTCCTTTTCAGCCTCTCCTTACTGCATCTCTTCTTCTCCACCAGCACATTTAGCTCATTCACTGTCCTCTTAAGCTCATTTATGTAGTCGATAGCATCTCCAACAATCGAGGCTCTATCATTCTTAATTTGTTCTCACAAAAGTATCAAAATTTTAAAACCACTTGCATGAAGTAAAGGAACAAAAATATATATTTTGTACATCGTAAAATAGCTAGTTCAATTGAATCCTCGAATCAAGAGATCATTCGTTATACTAGCAGAAATTTGTCTTGAAAAGTCTACAGACTGCCCTTTTTTGATCCATCTCCAAAAGTGAAATTTTTTGATATTTTGCAAATGTGTACATAAACGAGAATATATGTATGTAAAAAAGACAGAATTTCAACTACCGTAAGAGTTCTATATATGGAGAAAGCTTTTACCTTGATGGGGTTGGGAACCAAGCTCCTCAAAGCCTTGAATTTGTCATTGAGAAGAACTCTCCTACCCCTCTCAGTAGCAAAATGTTTAGTATCCTTTCCATTCTTATTTTTACCAATACAATCCATATCACCATTAAAGACAAAAACCCCATTATCAAAATGCCTCCCATCACCACCATTCACATCTCTCTCATCCACCATCCCAGGGAACAAGGATCCACTAGTCCTTGAACCTCCCGTTGCATAACCTCCATGAGGTAAAGAGTGTAACAAATCCCTCAGTAAAGGGGGCTGTGGTGGAAGATTCAAAGGCAATAAAGGATCATATATAACACTTGCTGAGGCTGATGCGCCATCGACTGGATTAAGATCCCCTAAGAGGCCAACGGAAGCCAAAAAATTGGGGGATTTATGGGCTGAGTTTGGAAAGGAAAGAGATGAATTAGGAAGCAAAGAGGCTGTGGATGGTGAGCATCTAGGCAAAGAAAACATATTGAGCAAATCAGGTGTAGTGGTATATGGAGTTTCTGGCAATGAATACTGATTCATATTTCCATTAAAATTACTCATATCTTGCCAGTTTGAATCATGCAAAATTTCCTGCATCAAATGAGTCTCCCCTTGCTGTATTATTTGCTGTTGAAGCTCCATCTCCAAGACTGCAGCAGCAACATCTTGTTGAATGGGGTGATTTAGAGGGTAATTCGAGTGTTCCTCCATGGAAAAACTTGGGTTGCTGCAGTTTGGTATATGGGTTTGTGAAAAACCATCCTCAGCTTGAATCAAACCTTCTTGCTGCTGCATATTGCTGGGATCAAAACAACCACTTCCTTCATACATGTTTTGCGATTCACCTGATTAAAACTGTTTTATTGTCTCCCGTATATTGGGGTCGTTTTCCCTGTCTTTGAACCTTCAAGAAACAAACAAAAAAACTGTAAGAAATACAGTACAAGGACTCATAAAAAAGAAGAAGAAGAAAAGAATCTGCAAAAACCCTGACCTTGGTATCAAGAAAAAGCTAAAAGGCAGGCTTTTCCAATAAAATTTCAATTCTGCTTCAAATTAAGAAACAGCAGAAGATATATGAAACCCACAAAAAAATGTGATTAAGGAAAAATAAAATTATAATTCCATGAAAATCAAAAAGTTCTGAGTAGTAAAGATTGGAGGGATGGAAAAGAAGAGAAGATGGTATTGGTAGCAAATAAAGGAATAGTTGGTTGGTTTGTTTGGGGTTAGGGGGAAGTGAAAGAGAAGCATGTTTTTTCTTTGGCTAAGCCTATAAGTTTCTTATGAGTACTTTTTTAAGAAGTATCATACTAATCAAGAAAATTACTTATAAGCAAGCTTAGCCAAACTCTATTGCCAAAGTTTGGAAGTTGGTTGCTGAAATTCCATGTACTGGGGCCCCGACTCATGATCTTCGTATTTTCTGAGTACACTACTGCACCTTAATTTTGCACTGACCAATTCATTATTCTCTTGTCTACCTTTCAACTTTCAATTTTCACCCCTAACTCCCCACCCCACCCCACCCCTCCCCACCCACCAAACTCAAAGTAGTAATATTAGTCTAAAACTGATTTTAACATTTAAAAGAGTATATGCTTGTGTAATTTCATATTAAGATATAAAGATTTGGTTATAAAGATTTGGTTATGCCAGACTTAAGTTGAACATGTTAAGACATTGATTTACTGCGATTGACGAAAATAATAATTGTGAAAGTGACCATAAGATTACAAAATATTTCATAAAATACATGATAACAAGGAGTGTGACACAACACATGAAATGTAGCAAAGACCAATTTTAACCTTTTATTCTCAGTTTTCTCGATGTTAAGCATTTTCATCATATTTTCAATTACTGAAACCTCCTAAATTTGTATTTTATTTTGTTATGGTATGAATAAGTATTCCATTTTATGGTGGTTTGATAGTTATGAATTGAACTTTTTTTTTTTTTTAATTCAATCATTTTTTTTTTTCCATTTATTTGGATTGTAACATCTCATCTCCTTTGGGGGGTATAAGTTCTTTTACTTTGAATATCCTTTTTGCATCCCTACAAGTTTTTGGGTATTGTCGAAGATAAAAGAAAACGGCGATAAGAGAAAAGGGGAAAAAAAGAAAAGAAAAGAAAAAACTTGAAATGGTGAAACGTGTAGTTTAAAAGAACAAAATAAAATAAATAATAAAATGAATAAGTACATTAGGCAGTCCAATGATCATGACTTATAGCCCTCGTTTGGTATAGATTAAAATCTACTAAAACTTCTAAGTCAAATTCAACAATTTTATCCACACATTTCGTCAATTTTTATCAAAATTTACTAAAAATTTAATTTTATTCTACACTAAAGAGTAACATAAATTTAGTAATAAATTAACATAATTGAATAACATAGTTAGATTTATAATAAGATTAATGATAATATAAGTGAATATTTTTTCTCAATTAATATTTTTAAACTGTCCATATTACCAAATAAGCCATCGAAATGCTAGACTTCATGATGTTGTACTCTACTTCTTTTTATATTTATATGTTTCCATTATCTTGGGCTGAATTTTATCTGCAAGTGCAATGTTATTTTTAATCCGCAGCTCTAATGTGACGAAATTGAGAATAGGGGTGGAGACGAGAATTATGGTCCCCATCTTGGTTTTTATTTTCATTTTAGTTTTTAATTCTACACTTTTATATCGAAAATGTATTCAAGAAAATATGCCAAAAAGTAACTGGAGAAACAATACAAAAATCCCCGTATTGACCCCTATAGTAGGATGGAAGACTGGGAGGGCCACCCTTCTGGTCTCCCCATCTCTCGTACCGTTCCGTCTTGTCCTATCTCGTTATCCTCCTTAATGATAACCTGGAAAAATTTTTGCTCAAAAGGAAAGTTGAAGATTTGAACGATGCTACCAAATTTCATATTACAATCTGGTGTGGACCCCATTAACCAGTAATTCACTCCATGCAATTTGAGCGCCTTAACTAACTACTAAAACAGCCACTCGAGTATATAACTTATTCTTCTACACTAAACAGCAAATAAAAATTAATTTCGTTAATAAATAATTTACAATACAGCTCACAATTACATATACAATAGATGTCATGTAAAGCTGGTGCGAAAGAAATATTGTGACATTTATTACTAAAGTTAGCTTGACAAAGAACTTTTTTCATGATTTTCTTCTTGCTCAGTCTCATCTCATTCGAGTTGTTACAAATGAAAAAGTTTCTAATTATTTCTGTTTTTTCATCTAAGAAAATGCTAAATTATTCACTTCTTAACAAGTATGGACATTATAGATCCTTATTCATATTAATTTTCATGTGTGTAGTAACCAAAAGGAAGTAGAACGATATAAAAGATGAGTTATATACGATATATGTTGTCCCCGTTTAACCATTTGTTGGTTGTCCCCCTCTACATAGTGATATCGCTGCACATTAACTTTTATTAACAATGAAAAGACATCATTTTAACAAGAGTTGACGTGCCGAAATATAAAAATTGCAGTAAAAATGGTTAAACGGAATAACAAATCTCAACAAAATGAAGAAGGCAGCAATATAAATTTTAAAAAACAAGGAAAAAATGCATAATAGACTGCAGCTATGTAATAAAAAATAAAAATATTCTCCTAAGAGATTCCCTAATTACAAGTGAGGTTCCTATAATTTTGGGAGGCAGAAGGTACCCAATCATTTGATGTTAGAAAAGGTTACTCACACAATTGCTGTGAATGCCAAACAATCAGGATGAGGTTAGTTACCAGTAATGTACACTGATTCGACCTAATCTCAAGGTTCGAAAAGGCGCTTGTGACAAGATGACAATATCTTGAGAATTATAAACCCTAATTCCATTCTATAGAGAGTAATCTATCAAAAAAATAAAAAATAAAAAATAATTGACACAGATAGTAAAAGCTCCATGCATTTGATCTTTTGAACGAGTTTCAAGCCATGAACTCAACTGAATTGAGTTCAAATGACACGCATCTGGACATGAATCTATTTTTTATTAGGTACATTCGCTGGAATCGAAATATCTGCCCAATTGAGATGTGATATGATTGCATCACGATGTTTTCATGGAATAATATGTTACTGTTGAAACACAGAAGAATTGAAATCTTATATCAGTAGATGTATGCCTCAATGTGAGACTACGTCACTCTCCCGCCACTTTAGTAATTCACTATGATAGAAAAAAGGTTTACAAGAAAAAATCGCATGCCTATCTTCATATGTAAGGCTTTTACTTCACATCTAGGCCCCGTCTTTTAAAACACTGCTTAATATTCCAATGAACAAACAATCAGATTAATTAGTAAACACATCTGTGGAAATGGATAATTAAAAGTGAATCATTCTTTAAATATAAGAACAACTTTTTTCTCAAGAAATGCATTCAAGAGAAGTCATTATGCTCTCGTTCTCCGAAGGTATTTGAGTATATGCTTCATCGCTACCTAATGTCCTAATCTTGGATTAGATTGATAACGACTAATAATACCCACAGTATAATAATCGGATTTAGTACAAAGCATAGCATACATGAGGCTTCCCACAACAAAAGCATAAGAGACCTTTTTCAAGTAATCTACGTTGGAGTCTTGGGTAAATGTTGCTTGAATAGATGAATTCCATATCTAAAAGGAAGTTGTCCCTTTTTGAAATTTTGCATTATGAATCTAGATAAAATTTTGTCAATATATAAAGCTTGGGATAATGCTATCATTCTGTTTTTCCTATCTCGTAATATAAGAAATTTCAAAACATAATTGGTTTCTCCCAAGTTCTTCATATCAAACTGTTGTTACAACCATTCTTTACAGATGACGGTGTCCCTACATCATTTTCAATGAGTAGAATTCATATACATAAAGAATCAGAAAAAACTACGCCCTTCCCTTGCATACTTGTATACATAGGGTTCATCCAAATTTGGGTCAAAATCATAGGTATTAATGGTTTGATTAAATCTTACATTCAAAGACCTGGAAACTTACTTGAGTCTATAAATGGACCTCTATAACTTGTAAACTTTCCTTTCATGGGCTTCTTTCACAAACCTTTTGTTAAAACTTGAGGTTTCATCTTAAAAGATTGACCTTGTTAAGAGAAGTAGTCCAAGACCTTATAAGTTGGGCTATATTTTCATCTTTATTTGATGTGGGATTATATCCTAAATATGCCTCAGTAAGACGGTGGCTTTTGAGAAGATCAATCTTGAAATCCGTCTGCTCATTCATGAGTCTTAATCAAATCAAATGGCTCATTGGAGTTTAATTGGCTCTGATACAATGTTAAGATTTAAGATTCTATCTTAAAAGATCAACCCTATTAATAGGAATGGTTTGAGACATTATAAATTGGTCTATATTTTCGTCTTTATTCGATATGAGATTATATCCCTTAACACCCTTCATGTTTCATCATTAGATGGTCTCGTCAAGACATCCATTTAAAAATGAAACAGCCACTCGAGTATATAATTTATTGTTCTGCACTATGCAGCAAATAAAATATTAATTTCGTTAATAAATAATTTATAATACAGCTCACAATTACATATACAATATGAAGTCATGTAAAGCTGGCGCGAAAGAAATATTGTGACATTTATTCTTAAAGTTAGCTTAACAAGAGTTGACGTGCCGAAATATAAAAATTGCAGTAAAAATGGCAAAATGGAATAACAAATCTCAACAAAATGAAGAAGGCAGCAATATAAATTATAAAAAATAAAGAAAAAAGCATAATAGACTACATATATGTAATAAAAAATAAAAATTATTATAATATAAATATTTTCCTATAGGAGATTCCCTAATTACAAGTGAGGTTCCTGTAATTTTGGGATGCAAAAGGTACTCAATCATTTGATAGTAAAAAAAGGTTACTCACACAATTGCTGTGAATGCCAAACAATCAGGATGAGGTTAGTTACCAGTAATGTGCACTGATTCAACATATAATGTCAAGGTTTGAAAAGGAGGTCCATCTAGGCCTCATCTTTAAAACACTGCTTAATATTCCAATGAACAAACAATCAGATTAATTAGCGAACACATCTGTGGAAATGGATAATTAAAAGTGAATCATTCTTTAAATATAAGATCAACTTCTTTCTCCAGAAATGCATTCAAGAGAAGTCATTATGCTCTCATCAGCAATGCCACCAAGGAGCTTACATGATTCTCTATCCTAGTATGGTGTCAATTAGAAATTTGGAAAATGTAATTCTATTGATTTGATTATTTACAGAAGTTGAGAAATGCAAAACATGTTTCTCAACTGATGCTTATTGACTCATCTATG